GTATTACTCAATAGCAGTCTATAAATAAAAATAGATATGTATATATCTTATTAAACATCTACATATATAAATAATTATTTCATAATTTGGTATTATTCTATAAAATATATATATATATATGTAAAAACTCAAGTTCGATCTAACTAGGGTTTGTGGGTTTAAAGAGAAGTCTTTTATTAGAAGAAGCTGGAGCTTGAATAAATACACGGAGGTTTAGGTTGTCGGAATAAGAACGCCGATCTAAACTTTTATGGAAAGTAAATCGAAAGCTAGAACAACCAGATTGCTTAGTTTGCCCTAGGTCTCGATAGATGGTTTTTGGATCATCTAAGAAGTCGAGGGCTTCCCATATTTATAGCTGATCAGGCCGGTCTTCGATGTGTGTTTAAAATAGGAAAGTCTTCTTGCCGACAAGAAGGAACTTCCTTTTTCCCGGGTTTGCTCGATAAATAGAAAGTTTCCATTTGATTAGCTGACCTGTAACTTGAAGAATGGGCCAACCAGAATTCACATCGGGCTTGTAGAGATGGTACGAATCTCATCTCTAACAGGTCTCTTGCTAATGTCTTAGCAGTAGCTACACGAGCTGAGGCTTGTTTGTCAATGAAAGTGTCATCCTTCCGAGCGTGTCCTGTAAGAGAAACTCAAATTAAGATTAAAGACTTAGTTTCAGACTTTCAGTAGACAAACATAGCATTGGTATATGGTTTCTTGTCTTGGAAGAAAATTCTTAGTGGCTCTGAACAAGCACCAAAAGGATTTCTTGGAGACAAGACCAGAAGATACATTATGCATTTTCTCACTGAGGATACTTTTCTCACTGAGGAGACAGCTAATTTTTCTTACAGGGATGAGATGGTGGAAGAAGGTTTTACCCTTATGATACGATTGCTTATATTAATAGTTTTGGTGGAAGAAAATCAATCCCAAGCATCCATAAATATGTAACCTTGGGCACATATTAAGGGACCAAAAGAACCCAACGAACATAAAGAAAAGAAAAGAACCAAAGATGGAAACATACCTGAGTAAGAATGTTTTTATGTCTTCTCTGATGTTTTTTTAATGATTGGCTCCTTGTACGCAAAAGTGGCAGATATAGATAAGATTTGCAACAGAGGGGGAAACCCTTCCTTCTGTTTTACCTACATGAAAGCTAACCCAACGACCTCGGGTGCTGACGGTGTAAAGCTTGCAGAGATCACCTTTGTTTCTGCAGAAACAAGTGCATCGGGAGCCTTAACGAATCTCCAATCTCTAGTCACGACAGAAACCAACCCTGCTTTGAAGCAGCAATACACCAATTGCGTGGGACATTATCAGAATGCAATCACGACAATCAAGAAAATTAAGCCTTCGGTAGTGAAAATGTTCTCCAACCCCAACGGAGAGCTGGCCTCTAGTTTTATAAGAATTAGGCGGGTAGCTGATAAATGTCGAGTTGACCTCTAATCAAGTGAAGGATGTCAAAGCTGCTCCTTCTGTTGTGAAGAACAATGATTTTTTTCAGAATATTTGTATCCTTGTTATTAGCGTCACCATATTCGGGGGAACGTTTAAGATTGGGGTAAATTAATTTTTTTCTTTCTTTTAACAATAATTGAAAGGGCAATTTTGATATTTACCATAAAACATCAAAAATAATAAGAAAGCTAAAACTTTTCTAGCTTTATCATTTTTCATTTTTCAATTTTGATCACTTCCTAAATGTATTTATAATTCATTTAAGTAACTATTTAAGAAAGCTTTTTAAAAATTTAGAAAAACTTTTTCTAATTCGTAATGATTGGAACAACTTTCAACAACTTTTATGCACAAAAATTCTCAATTATACGTTTTTAGGAATATCTTCCTAAAGATGTAGAAATTCTTTTAAATTTGAACTTGTAGGAAAAAAATCAAAACATCCTTGAGCTCTTTTATCCGAAAATGTGAAAGCTTGTCCTGACTAAACTTTGAGCCTGACAAGAGAAAGATAAAAAATCACCCAATCATGAGCCTTGTGAAATAGAGCATCGTTTTAAAACTCATAGTAGTAAACACGAAATATGAATCAGATCATGAATAGAGCCTTTTTGAAAGTCCGAGCTCTTTGAAACATAGGGTCTGACTGGTATGTCAGATGAATAACAGAATAGCGGAATAACTGAAAAATTACTAGCGGAATGAACTGAACTGAATAATATTTTAGCTGAATAATTATGAAACGCTGAAAAGCTACTTTTAGTAGATTAATCACGTTTTGTTTTTTTAGTTATATTTTTAACACGCTAGCGGAATCACGTTTCAAAAACATAAAAAAAACATTAAAACATGAAAACGTGATGAATAACATGAATAGTAAAAAATAACAGAATCAAATTTTTAAAACGTGAAAACGTGAAAAAGCTAAACGTGAAAAAGCTGCATACCATTCAAACCCATAAACTCTACACAAGTTCAAATCAAATGCAGGTAAAGCACATATCTTTCAGCCAATAATACCTTGCAATTAGTTTCCAAATCCATGTCTTTGAACACAGAGTAACAAAAGGCAAAGCTCAATTCAAAACAATTAGCACCATTGAGGGTTAACCATTGGAGAGCATATCTGTAAAAAGAAACAAACAAAAAAGTCATATCTTTTTCGTTTGCATTTAAACTTAAGCTGTGAAAAACTGGAGGAAGAAGACACAAACCCTTCTCAATCGCTGCGTCGCAACCCTAGCTGCATCATCAAGGCTGCATCAACCGAAGTCGTGATCCCTTTTCAATGAACGTGAACACCTCCATGTTGTTCAGGATCCTAACATCGCCCATCAATGACCTGTCGTTCCTCACAGTCTCTGCGATGTTCCCTGTTCCGGTGAGATCTCATTGGATCCTGATCATGGATGCGCCTTCTCGGATTCGTCTCAAGGCATCGCCTACATCACGACAGCCACATATGAACGGAGATCGGAAGTTGTGTTTGTTAATGAAGTTGTCGTCGTCCCCGACGGAGATGATCCCGCTCTCGTCAATGTAATTGACGGCCAGAGCTGAGATTCCAAGATCTGAGCCTCCACGAAATGACCGACGCGAGCGCGTCACGCGCTTCACCTCTTTCATGAGAACCGGATCCGGCATCCGACGAATGCCACCGGGGGGAATGGACTGGACCTGAGAGATTCCAGACCATGCATCGGCGGATTCGGCGATCTTAGCCTGGTTTACAGAAGAGATCTCGACAAATGGCGCCTCCGATGGATGTCTCAGGATCTGAAACGATTCTGCAAATAGGAATAAAATTTTTGTATGTTTTCTTTAATTATTTGTCAAATACTCTACATTTATTTAATTGAAAACAATATAATTATCACAGTAATCGAATATGTACAAATAGGAGTTTCTTATCAATCATATTATTAACTAAAAAGTAAGTTAGATTTATGATGGTTAATTATTTTTTACCTTTTATATAAAAAGATTTTATTTCTTCTTAATAAAATTAACAAATTAATTATATAATTTTTAATCCATTTTTGTTTTTTTAAAACTTAAATTTCTAAATTCGGATTTATATCATAAGAATATTCAGTTTGTTAAGAAAAGTAATTAGCATAAATCACAAAAAAATTAATTCTAATTATTTTTTAAACTAATTTTAATTTAATCGATTAACCTACTAATATTTTTGACTAACCTAATTGATATATGTGACCACAAGTAAAACCTAAATCTTTTAAACTTTTCTAAAACTCTATATATATTGGAAAAAAAAATTAAAACAATCTATATCGATCGGCGCATGTATGTCTCTCTCTCTACAATTTTCATTTTAGATCCCTAATCTCTTTCAAAAAACCAGTCGTGGAAGATTCGAAGTTATAGTTTCATTGAGAGTTTTATTGGAGAAAAAAATGGTTGATTTACTTTTAGATATTGGTTCTATTTTTATGTTCGGTTTGATTAAATGTGGTTTTAATTTGTGTGTGTGAGAACAACTGGAACAGATAACTCAGACCAAGCAAGAAACTTTTCATCAACCGATTGGTGCCCATATGTCTCTCTCTACAATTTTCATTTTAGATCTCTAATCTCTTTAAAAAACCAGTTGTGGAAGATTCGAAGTTATAGTTTCATTGAGAGTTTTATTGGAGAAAAAATGGTTGATTTAATTTTAGATATTGGTTTTATTTTATGTTTGGTTTGATTAAATATGTTTTTTATTTGTGTGTGAGAACAACTGGGATATATAACTCAGACCAAGCAAGAAACTTTTCATCAAACCGATTGGCGCCCATATGTCTCTCTCTACAATTTTCATTTTAGATCTCTAATCTCTTTAAAAAACCAGTCGTGGAAGATTCGAAGTTATAGTTTTATTGAGAGTTTTATTGGAGAAAAAATGGTTGATTTAATTTTAGATATTGGTTCTATTTTATGTTTGGTTTGATTAAATGTGTTTTTAATTTGTGTGTGAGAACAACTGGGATATATAACTCAGACCAAGCAAGAAACTTTTCATCAAACCGATCGGCGCTCATATGTCTCTCTCTACAATTTTCATTTTAGATCTCTAATCTTTTTCAAAAAACCAGTCGTGGAAGATTCGATGTTATAGTTTCATTGAGAGTTTTATTGGAGAAAAAATGGTTGGTTTAATTTTAGATATTGGTTCTATTTTTATGTTTGGTTTGATTAAATGTGGTCTTAATTTGTGTGTGTGAGAACAACTGGGACATATAACTCAGACCAAGCAAAAAACTTTTCATCAAACCGATCGGTGCCCATATGTCTCTCTCAACAATTTTTATTTTAGATCTCTAATCTCTTTCAAAAAAACCAGTCGTGGAAGATTTGAAGTTATAGTTTTATTGAGAGTTTTATTGGAGAAAAAATGGTTGATTTAATTTTAGATATTGGTTCTATTTTATGTTTGGTTTCATTAAATGTGGTTTTAATTTGTGTGTGCGAGAACAACTGGGACAGATAACTCAGACCAAGCAAAAAACTTAGCATTAGCATTGAAAGACAGATTTCACTTGCAGCCATTATCACCAACAGAAGCTGCAGTTAGGGCTAAAGAATCAGCTAAAAATATCCTTAACATTAAGACACTAATCGACAAAAAAAATTTTGGCCTTACGTTCATAACGACCTCCATTTGAGAGCATCATATATCTGTGTCGATCTTTAATACCATTATCTCCACTAGGTTTAAGGAAGAGAAATAGAGTCTCAAAAAACTCACCGGCAAGCTCTTCCAAACTATCGCCAACGTAAGTTTATTTTCTTCTTTAGGGTTTTGTTTTCTCTTGGTTTCTTGGTGAATAAGTTAGAGTTTTTTAATGCAAAAAATTATTTCTAATGTTTAGATTTATCTAAGATTGTTGTTTCTTATGTGGAAGCTGGACTATGCGGAAATGTCAAAGAGCAACTCATATGTTGAGAAATATTACTCAGAGACAGAGTCACATAGACGGTTTTTAAGTTTGAACAATGTTTTTGCCAAGCTTAGTTAAAAAGGCAAGATGTTCTTTGTAATGTATTATTGTTAATGCTATTATTATTGTTATTCAAGTACTCTGTCTTTTTTTCTCCTTTAAATCGAGTATTTCTAATTTCAGTTTCAAGTTTTAACCAATAATTGATATAATATATATGTTTGTCTTAAATTTTAAATAAAGAATTGAAACCAATTATTGGTCTTACTCTTGGACATTCGACTTTTCATGTTGTCTTTTTTGAACTTAATCATCAAAGAGTTTTTACCTTATTTTTTTCTTTTGGGGGACCATATATGTTTGTACAAAATAACCAAAATGCTGACGTAAATTGTCAAGTACGCATGGATTCCCACTAAATGTGTTAAGTGTGGACAGTTGGGACATAAGGCTTGATCTCTTCAACGATCTCCAGGGCCCAAGATAATAGTCCTAGTTAAAACTAACCCTCTATGTGAATTGAGATCGGTCGCAGGTCCAAATATGGTTCATAGCTCACCGATCTCTGATTCTAACTATGCCTTTGATCCTCAAACATATCTTTCTCCCAATCCAAGACACTGGATCCTCTCCCAATCGAAGACACGGATAAACATACTGTAGTGGACACTATTGATGATTTGACTTGGTTCTAAAATCAATTGCTATGTTATGTGTGGTGGTGAAGTTTACTACCTAATTTCCGAGATCTTCCTAGACGATTACAAGCAATGGAAGTGGAGAATATTTGACAATGGAAATGTTGAGTATGAGAAGGAGGAGGTTGTTTGTTTGCTGGAGTACCCATACCTCTTCTTGGATTCGACACTAAAATTAAGTTTCTTCTAGCTTTGGTTCTTTTCTCCTTAAGGCAAGACTTGAAACAAAAATCCAAGTCGTAAGATTCACGAACCTTCAAAACAGAAGAAACTTACATGCAATCTGTTGTGGGGAGAAAGAGAATAAGTTCATCCAAATTACTGTGGATGTTGGCGTTTGGTTTACAAAGCTTCACAAGGCCAACAAACCGTAAAATTACAGAAAGCCAGCCAATCAATATGCCAAGGAAACATAAGAGACAAAATTAATTATAACATGATCATAATGTTTGAATCTGGGTTTGTTAAAATTAAGATCAAATTGGTTTAATCACATATATATATATATATGCAAATATAACATCATAAAAGTATGATTTAAGCTCTCATGTGAAAGATTTTTATACTCTAATATATATCACAATTGGATAATGTTATTAATTTTTCAAAATTTAATCGAAACCGCACAAGGTGCGTAAAAACACCTAGTTTGGTGTTATTTGAATGAAAATTACTCCCTCTGTTTCAAAATAAGTGTCATTTTAAAATTTTATTTTTGTTTTATAAAAGGTGTCACTTTACATTTTCAGTTCATAATTTTGAATAAATATACAGTTTTAACCTTTAAATTTTATTGTTTTAATTAGAAAGAGAATGTTATTTTGTATGTGAACAAAATATAAAACAAAATTTTTAATGATTTATTAATTTGTATGAAAAATATCAAAATAACACTTATTTGGAAACAGAGATAGTAATTTTTATATCATTTTAACTATTTTCTCTAATTATAATCTAGTTTAAAAAAAAACTAATTGTTAAAGTGTCAATAGAAAAAACAAAACAAATTTAGTATGGTTGTTGGTTTGAACTTGGCATAGTAACCTCAATAATAAAACTTTTAACTTTGCTTTAGCAACTACACCGCTATTGACTTTAGAAAATTGGGACATAAATTATATAATTTCCTTGGGGATATGGAGCAAACGGCTAATTCGTCTCGAACAAGTTTCCTTCTAGATGAGTTTTTTTTTTGTCAAGGCGCGTTGTTGTCGTTGTTAGTTTTTTCTTACTTACCTCGCCCAAAGATTTTTATTTTTATTTAATTTACTTCCTCAAAAGTTTGTAATCATCAAATATGAACTCTGTTGGTTTACAACATATTTTGTTTTCTGGTTATCATATATACTTATGAGATTTTTCTCCAAAATATAAATATATATATATATATTATCATATAAAATTGGATGTGTCAAAATTAGTAATTCACGTGATCGCAACATCTAATGACATTCTAGATTCAGATTTTTACACGTGTTTTCATTAGATTAAAAATAAATTATAAATTTAGGAAATATAACTATTATTAAAAATATATCTACTATAATATGTAAAACAGAAAAAGGAATAAATTAAAAAAATATATATATTCAATCAAGAAAAGGATTTATTTTCTAAAAGTAAAGAATAATCCTAAAATAAAAAAAATATTACTCACATCTTTGTAAACACATAAAATCTTTTATAAGTTTAATATTGCTAAACTGATTTTTCTCTTAAACTTGAATCAAACCGATAAAATGAGAAACTGATGATACGATAAAAAATAATCAGAATTATGGAAGCAGGATGAAGGAGAAAGCCACTTTTGCTTTGAAATTTGTAGCAAATCTGAAATTAGAAAAAATATTATTTTTACAAATAATTCAATTTTGTTTTTTTATTTCTTTTTAAATGTATTTTTACAGATTTTAAAATATCTTATTATAAACCCGTGTATATGATATGAAAAGGAAAATTAAAAAAAAAGTAAATATAATCCTAAAAGAAAAAGAAAACAATTATTCACATTATTTCTTATTATATAAAGTTGGATGTGTCAATGTTAGTAATTTACATGATCGTGATATCAAATTTTTTGATCAAGATTTTGACACGTGTTAGGACTAAACTAAAAATAAAACATAAACTTAGAAATATATCTATTATTTTAAGAAAAATATCTATTATTTTAAGAAAAGGAAATAAGAAACTATAACTACTACAATATTGCATAGAAAAAAAAAGAAAAAAAAAATCATGTGTTTCAATTAAGAAAAAAGAAAATTAAAAGAAAAGTCAATACAAATACTAAAAAAACAGGAAACTATTATTCACATCTTTATATATACATAAATATCTTATAATTTTACTACACTAATTTCTCTCTGAAACTTGAGTCAATTGGATAATACGAAAAACTGATGAAGCGACAAAAAAAAATTAGAATTACAGAAGCAAATTGAAAGAGAATGTCAATTTCTCTATGAATTCATTTTACCAAATGAAATTTTTGTTGAGAGTTTGTTAGAGAGAAATCATATTTTTGAAAATATAAAAATAAATACGGAATGAAAGAGAAAGTTAGTTTCTTTAACTAGTTCTATTATAAATAGTTTTGCAAAAAATATTCTCAGTCTTACATTTTTATGTTCATTGTGATCGAATTTTGGTTTATATTTTTTTATGTTCAATTATATTTATGAAAAATATAAAAGTAAATACATAATAAAATAAAAACTCAATTTCTGTAATTAATTCTATTATAAGTGCTTTGGCGAAGATATTCTTAATCTCGCTTTTTTATGTTCATAATCATCTAATTTTTTTATACATTTTCATATTCAGTTTTTTTCAATGGATTGTGTAATAGTTAATTATAAACCATTGTATATAGAGATCAAAATTTAAAGTTAAAAATGATTGAAATATATGTGAGTCAATTAATTAAATTTTACCATGCATAATAAATATTTTAAATTAAAAAATCAAATATGAATAAAAAAAATAAATATAATTGAAGCTAATTTATTTTTTGTTTTTAATTTATTTTTCATAAGTTTTAAAATAATTTTGAAATCTGCTTATAAGCGGGTCTTTTATATATGCTTATGGGATATGCATGAGACGCTTTTTTGCACATGCATTTTATTTAATTTGGATTGCTAAAGATAATAACGTAGGAAACACTTTGATTAGAGCGAATCCTGTTAGAGAAACTCAAATTAAGATTCAAGACTTACTTTCAGTAGACAAAATGGCATTGGTAAGGGGTTTCTTGGCTTGGAAGAAAATTCTTGGTGACTCTGACCGAAGAAAGAAACTTGAGCACCAAATAGGGTTTCTTGCCGTGTACGTCAGAGACAAGACCAGAAGAAAAAGAAGAGATACACTCTTTATATTAAATTCAACTTCTCGCTAAAGCCAAGGAAGATTTCGATTTTAATCATTTGATGAACTGCTTGACGACCCCTTGTGCTGAACGATACTGTTCTCACTGTAGCTTCTCGCAAAGTCATGAGGAAAGTGCTCTCTGGTCATTACAAATAAATAGTTTACTAAAGAATGTTTATTCAATTACAGTGTAAAATCGGTGAACTTTTGAACTGCGGTTCTGTAAAAACATAGGGGATTAGATGGTGGAAGAAGGTTTGTTTCCTGATGATAGTGACATGATGCGATTGCTTGATCAGAGGGCTAACTGGAGAAGAACAAATCTGAGGAAGCTAGTGGGGCTTTAATCCCACGTACTCTTCTCATTTACAATGCTCTGTAATAAGTTTTTGAACATTGAGGTTTTAAAATGTCATTAACTCTGGTGTAGTAACTTACAAACCAATAAATGAATAAATTTATGATTATTTTTCCTACGTAAAACTTTATTAGCAGCAGAAATCATGAAAACAGAATATATTATGGAATTCATATCTGCCTAAAGAAGAAAATTCAAGAAAGAAGTCTGTTAGAAGAATTGTATCGTCAGAGAAAACTCTCTCTGCACGTTTGCCAAGAATAGCAAAGTGATTTCTCCATCTTATAATATTAGGACTTGTGGTCTAACTGAGAATCAGAAACATCAACAATCCTGTCCAAGAACTTCTATTATTAGTTTTAGTGGAAGCAATCAATCCCAAGCATCCATAAATATGTAACCTCGGGCATATACCAAGGGAATAACTTTCCCAAAAGAACCCACCGAACATAAAGAAAAGAAAAGAACCAAAGATGGAAACATACCTGAGTAAGAATGTTTTTGTGTCTTCTCTGATGTTTTCTGTAATGATTGGCTCCTTGAACGCAAAAGTCGCAGACATACAAGCAATTTGCGGGAATGCAAAAAACCTGGCTTTCTGTACTAGT